TTATGTTAGACTGCACAGGGAAGCCATTGAAATCCATAAACACCAGCAAAGCTTCAACAAAAAAAGGAAAGTCTGAAACTGAACAAGGCCTGGCTTCCATCACTGAAAAATATAGCCTGCAGAAGGTCAACGAACTCTACCCAGCCACAAGGACCAGGGATCATTGCACAAAAAAGACCAGCTAAAGACACCTATCAACCACAGTGACAGATAATCTCTTACCCCTTATCACAACAATACATCCACAACAAAAACATGCTGATCACCCTATCTCCTGAAAAGGACAAAAGCTGTTCCCACAGCTATAAATACTCAACTATCCAACGAACAGCAACAGAGCATAGACAGAGTTCCTACTCCAGTCTTCTGAAGATGCCGGCCACAGAGACTGTCAAAACATCAGGAAGAACAACCCTCAGAAAACGGCCAAAGAACCCAAAGAACCCACAACAACCATCAGATCCCAGCCGTGAAAGCCTTCGAGAATATATCTATAATTATTCCAACACTCTTACATATTCATCAAAAAAGGATTCGTTGTGCTCTTTTTTCTACAATTGTTTTCACTTTCAGGATAATTCTGAGGATAATTTGCAATAACAATTTGGTGTCAACTTTCAGTGGATCACAATGTGTATTATGTCATAGGGGGACAATTTGTGTGACCCCTTGTTCTCTTCATGGCCATTGCACTAAGAAGTTTCCTGTATGAGGCAGACAAAAAAAAAATCAACAAATGCAACCTTAGTCAACAGGTAGCTATAATAGGAAGAGTCAGGTGTATTGAATTCATCCTATTTAAGGCACAAGCACCCTGCCAGGAAATGAAGCAGCAACCATAATACTGAAGTCATTGTAGACAGTGGTTCAAAACCCTGGATCCCCAGATGTTCTTGGACTAAAATTCACAAAAACCTTAACTACTAACTGGGCTGGCCAGGATTTTAGAGAGTTGTAGTCCAGAAAAATCTGGGGAAGGAAAGAAGGAGCCCTTCCAGAGGTAGTCAAATAATGTGGTCCATGTCTACTCAGAAGTAAACATGAGTTTTAAAATCTCCACAAGAGACCCTTCACTTAGTCCTCCTGTACCAGATAGAGCACATGAGACAGGTTTTTTTGGTAGCTCTGAAATTCCATATTCCTCTTGGCCATCAGACAAGACATTTTTATTTAGATAGACCTCTGCTGCTTAAACTGGGGCTGCAGTCACACCAGCAAAATCCTTCTGAGTTACTCTTCATGAGTTTTGATCCTTTGAGGGGGGGGCGGTTTTAGATTACACACAATCATTACCGATTCTTTTGTTCCCCCCATGTGCTATCTCCACATTAAATGCAACCCACTGGGAGGCTACCACTATATTTCTTCCATGTTACTGTTTGCCTTGAGTACCTTTTGTGATAGAAAGAGCAGAATATTAAATATATAAATAAAAGTTCAACAGGACTTATTCTCAGATCATCATCATCATGTGCTGCCAAGTCAATTTTGATGGGATTTGCTTTTCAGGGGGTATGTGGCGATCTTGACAATGAAAATACCAAAATTGTTAAAGATTGTGAACACTTTGGTTCAGTCATCAAACCAAACGGAGACGGCAGCCTAGAAACCAGAAGACTGAGAACGGGGAAAGGCTGCAATTAAGGAATTAGAAAAGATCATCAAGTGTCAGGAGGTGCCACTGGAGACTGAGACCAAGCTCATCCACACTCTCTGTATTTTTGATCACCATGTATGGTTGGAAAAGTTAGACAGCAAAGAAAGCTGACAAGAAAAAAAAGATTGATTCATTTGAAATATAGTTTTGGAGGGAAGCTTTTGTGGATACCCCGGACTACCAGAAAGATAAACAAGTGGATGCTAGATCAAATCAAGCCCACACTATCTCTGGGGGCAAAAATTATGATACCGAAACTGTTCTTCTTGAGGCACATCATGAGAAGGCAGGATTACCTGGGAAAGACAACAATGTTGGGAAAAGAGGAAGACCAAATACAAGATAGATTAATTCCCGAAAAGAACCACAGACTGCAGTTTACGAGAGCTAAACCAGGGTTGTTGAAGATGGAACATGTTGATCTCTCATTCACATAAGTGCCCATAAGTCAGAGGTGACTTGACTGCAGGTAACAATAACAACAACACGATAATTTGCAGTATTATGCCCTATGTCAAAGCTTGAAAAATAATGAAATGTGTACAAAACAGCTTGAAGAGGGGGTGGATGTTAAGTTCCCCAAAAGCACGTTTTCCCATTGAGTGTGGTCTTAGCTTTTTTCCTTAGGCCTGCCATTCAGAGGCAGAAAGATCTGGTTCTTAGGAGACGATTATGACTTGACTGCCCGGCCTGGCCCTGCCCTCTTCTCCCCTCTGGTCGCTTGAGCGATGGGCTAGGGCAGCCTACCATTCAGAAATCACACATGGTTACAACAAGCATGTTTTGCAGCCATAAAAAGCCTCTCCAGCTTTTGGCAGCAGCCTGTATAAATATTCGCGCACCGCAGCAGGAGGCAAAAAGACACACTGTACCAGCCTGTCTTGTTAGTAACCTGGATTCACCTAAGGGGGTGGGGTGGGTAGGGGCGGCGGCGGCGGCGGCGGCAGGAGGGAGGGATTGAAGCCGGTCCTTGTCTGCTGGCTTTGGGCAGAGAGAGGACTTCTCTCTCTAGAACTTCTTTGGAAAGAGGCCGCCTCGCCTCATACCCAGCCCTTCCTTATGCGATTTCCACTCCTCGGTTGTAGAGAAGGGACAGAAAGATAAGCAGGCATTGCCTAATTTAAAATAACTCTGGGCGATAATAGGAGCTCGGCAACGTTCCTTCTCTGTTGTTGTTGTTTTGGGGGGAGCGGGGGGGGACACTACAATTCCCCCGATCCCTGTCATCGGTGAGGATTCTGGGGGCTGTAGTCAGGAAAAGTAACGTGGCCGAGTTCCGACTTTTGTTGTTCTTCTGGGTCTGACTGAGGTTGCCACCCTTTGGGTGGAATAGTGCTCCTCCGCCTTTTACGCTCAGCCTCTGGACGAGCTTCAAATAAACCAAGGGAAGTGCCCGGGCGGGCGCCCGTCTCTCCAGCTCCTCGCCGCCGCCGCCGCCGCCTTCCTGGCAGGAAGGTCAGGGTGCCAGGAAACCGGCGTTGGGGAATTCTCGGGAGCCCAGGAAGGGACAGCAAGAGGGCAAGCCCACCACCGCCGCCAGCGGGGAGACGAGCGGGCAGCTCCGGGCCGGCTTCCGCAGCCCTCCCTCCCGTGGGGAGCGCGCCGCGTGGGTGCCTTTTTAAATCTCTGGCGGTGATGCAAGGGATGTGCTCCTTCCCCTTTAAGGCCGGAGTTTAAGCTCGCCGTGTGTGTGTGTGCAAGCGAGCGAGCGAACGAGCGAAGTCCCCTCCTCTCCGAGTGACACAGCAGTTAGATATGCCCTATCAGTAACTTAAAGCCCACAAACTCCACCTTCTGAGCGAGGAAACTGTGGGCTGAGGGAAACGTAGTGCGCGAATTGAGACAGACAGTGAATCATTAGCAAACTGCAACGCCAGGATGAACTTGTCGGGAACCTAAAAGGAGGAGGAGGAGGAGGAGGACGCGGGGGGGGCCATCGGTGGCGTCGGTGTGGGTGTGGGTGTGAAATCCCCACCGAAGGAGGGGACCGCCGCCGCCGCCTCTCTCGCCTGCCGGCCCCGGTGGCTCCTGCGCGCTGCTGGGTTTTGTCCAAGGCAGTCAAACTGGATGTAAAAAGCTGGTGGGTCGCCAGTCCAAGATGCTTCTGGTTTCCCCGCGGGTAGAAGCACCACGCATGGAGCCGCATATTCCAGTAAGTACAGATGGGGCGGACAGGCGAGTGGGGGGGGCACGCGAGGTGTCCTGCTTGTTAATCAATCCGCCTCCCGGTTGTCGGCATCGCGATCGTCAGGAGGGGTGCCTGGTTTGGAGACTGAAGTTTCTGGTTGGGATGGGCGAAGGTGCCGGACCTTCCCCTCTTCCTTCCTCCCCCGGTGCCGGGCTGAGTTTTGTGATACATTTCAAAGAGGACGCTCGGACCAAAGAGGGGCGCGGACGGAGGTGGAGGGGGGCCGGAATTTGCCTCTGGACTTGGAAGCTCCTTTCCTTGTTTTGTGGGGCGGGGGGTGGTGGAAGTGGTTTGCTTTTTGTTCCAGGCGCGCTTTGGTCGGTTTCAGAGTACTGTAGTCAATTTGAGGCTTTGGGCGCGCTCGCTCGGTGCGGCGGCGTCTGTGTGCTTTAAAATGGTGGTAAATGGAAGAGGTGAGATCTTGCGATCGTGTAGTTTCAAGGAAGGAAG